CTTTCCCAATTACTACTCTTATTTTTCCCCGCTCCTACCATGTCAACTAGATCAGAGAGCTGGAAGAAGAAAAGAAAGGCTTGATTACGAAGCTTCAGGTAATTGAATTCTCTAAATGTTTTCGTAGGTTGTATCCAAGATTATTTAATTTACGTAATAATAATGTATTATAACCTTTGGTATTTCCTAGATTGCATTGGAAATGATTTAATTTAATTAATATTAATGCATCATCACTGTTGGTATTTCCTGGTTACATGAATCAACATATAGATGGATGCATACATCTTAATATATATTTAGGTGCATGTAAGATTAGAAGGTGATTTACTCATTTCCAGAAAAAAAAAAGCATTACAAGGTGATTTACATGTATGTACGATGGACAGATCATGTAAATGTCATACACATGCATTATTGGTTGTCATATTCATACTAATGTATTTGATTATCAGCCTCACCTCTGTATCTATGGCTAATTAACAATGAAACACTGTGGAGAAAAACAACTTAAGGAATTTAAAAACACTAATTTTGGACGTATAGTGTTGAGAGTGAAAAGAGCTTTAGTTCCTTTTAGTATTGGTAAACTGTAAGAGAACAAGATGAAACCAAGCTGGAAATAGAATTACTAAATCCCTTCCATGGTGGGACGCTCCAACTATCTTCAAGAAGTGACATCGTGCCTCTTAGCTGGTTTGGATATTGTTTTCATTCTGGTTTTTAACAAATTTAAGATGTCTACTCTTACAGTTGCTCTTGTTTCTCGTGGCTTGGTGGCTCTAGAATTTATTCACTCATGGTCAAAACGTTGATGCTTGGCACGAAAGTTTTGAAGCAAACTATTTTGTTTGTAATCCTTGCCCAGGAATCAAAAGGTCCTGGTGCAATGATAACAAAATTAATGAAGCTACTGCCTCTATATAGAAATAGAATAATGACGGGTATCTTTGTCATCACACGGGTGCAAAATCCTTGGCTGTAAATTTTGAAAGGAAGTTAAGGCTAGATTAATTGATTTAGAAATTAAATTTAAATACAAAAGACTATGGCCAACAATTGGGATACCAGTACTTTGATATTTATGCTTCAATTGCAAAGATTCCTTCTAGTAGACTCATAATTTCTCTGGTAACATTGCCTAATCTCTTCATCCATCAAGTGGAGTTTCATACACTTTTCATAATGGTGATATTGATAAAGAAATATATATGCAATGCGCAGAAGGTTTATTTCTGCAGTAAATTATTGCAAGTTCTGCAAACTCATCAAATTGCATTATGTTTTGAAGCAATCACCGAAGCACTTCAGAAATTCAGAAATATCTTACTATATGATGGATGTGAGGCACATGATGTTGACGCTTGTGATTATATGGCTGAGGATAGGATTATTCTCCTAATAAGTCTATAAGACCATTTTCGTTGTGTGTGTGATGAGACACACTTGATAGACTTGTCTAAGTGTTGGAGTTAGTCAGTTCATAACGAGATTTGACATGTCCATAGTGCACATAGTAATTTGTAGATTATGACTAGGTTCTTACTAGCTGTAAAAGCACAAAATAAAGGAAGAATCTGTTTGTGCTACTCTGGGTTTTCAAAATGAATTAAAGTTCAAATGATTTCCACTTAAGACGAGTTGTGGTTTTTAAGTTCAAGCTTATCCTCTTAGTTTGTTTTTGACTCTTAAGCAATTTTGTGTTTGCACTATGTAAAGGTTCTAATCCAGAAATACCTCTATTTATGCATATTTCTTCTTAAAAATTTATGCACATTTCTTCCTAGATGCCCAATAAACTTATGTGCTTTCTAGTTTGAGTAACAATAATGCATCAACTTTTAGTGTTTTGTAGATACATGAACAACATATATGCTTTTATACCTGTTAACATCAGTTAGGCACCGGTATCATTAAAAGTAAAAAACATACATGTATATATTATAAAAAGGTCACATACATCTGTCATTAATTCTTTGTATATATATCATGGAAAGGTCACATACATTCATCATTAATTGTCATTCTCATCTTCACGTTTTTGATTACCAACCTGATGTAGGACAAAAAGAGTTTAAAGATAAAACTTAGAGAAATTCAATTAAGAACAAAAATTTGGAGATATCGGATTTCAATAATCAAAGCAATATCTCAATATTTGAATAGTTATTATGAATAGTCTACCTAATAACTAAACTAGAGTACCTTATTTATGACACCAAATAGATCTAAAAAGTAGGAAATCTACAAAGTTTAGTAAATAAGAAAATAAATTAAATAAAAAGAACTAGGGGAATAGGAAATCTAGGAAATAGGAAAGTAAATGTTCCTATTTTTTTTTATTGTAAAACTTTCCAAAACTTAGAAAAGGAAATTAAATCTTCCTATTCCTTTTAGTTAACTTTCCAAGACGTTTATGTTCCTTTATTAAATTTGCTTTATATTTCTCATTATTGGAATATGTCCATTTTAGGAGCTTCCTGTTCCGCATTAAAACCTCACTATATAAAAGGGGAAAATTTAGCAGTGAAATTATATGAAAAACACAGTTACTTAAGAACTTTAAACAACCTGTAAATTGAGGCATCAAGCATTGAGATTGAGAAGCACTTAGTTCTTACCGGTTAGTGCAAAACTGTTAGGAAATGAGATAAAACCAAGCTGAGTGCCGAGATAGAGTTTCTAAATTCCATGTGGGAGACTTCGGCTATCTTCAAGAAACAATATTGTGTCTCTTAGCCAGTCTCAATGTAATTTTCATTCTAATTTTCTAACAGACTCTGATTTTGCTTTATATTGATAGAAGTTTGTTCTTCTTTGAAACTATAAGTTGCTTATTATATGATACTTCATTATAGAAAAATGGTAATATTTCTCGTTCCTTGTTCTACTTTTGGTTTCTGTTGGCTGATAACTTTCTGCATATGATAATGGTAGTTATATATAAAAATTACATTGGTGGCATAAATGATCAGTTCCATGCATCTTTTGACGTAGGATGAGTTAATGATAATCTGCCTATTTGGGATTTGGGTTAAACATAGATATTGCACTTAAAATTTCACCAATATCACATGTAAAAAATTTGGTTTCTGTTGGCTGATAAGTAGCTGTATATGATAGTAGTAGTTACATACAGGAAGTACATTGTTGGCATAAATGATCCTCTCCATGTCGCTTTTGACATAGGATGAGTTAATGATAATCTGCCTATTTGGGAATTTGTGTTAAACAGAGATATTAACTTAGGAATCCTTCATATATCACATAAGAGTTTGGATTTCGGGCTTAACGGGTTCTTGAGTGGAAAAGTAACTAGACATCACACCTATGTTTCTTCAGCATCATACACAAGTGAGGTTTGATCTCATACATAATCTGGAATATACATCATACAATTGTAAAGCATATCACCTGTCGATTCTCTCAGTCGTTGTTGTTCTCTTAAAAAACATGAGTATCTGTGGACTAAATTTAATCCTAATCCAATTATACATTTTATTTAAAAAAAAACTTATGAACTCTGATAAAAAAATTAAAATGATTTAAACAAAAAGTAAATCCCGATACTACTAGAATAAAAATTGCTATAAATAAAAACATTAAATCAAAGTCTTAAGATAATTTGTGATGTCAGCTTTAGTTTGATGTTCTTTGTCAATTGGATTAACATTTTGGCAAAACATTTCAGATAATTTATTATTGTTATTTTGTTTTTTAGTAGCTTTTGGGTAATTGATATCAAGATCAACAGAGTTCTGGACGAGAAACTTCTTTTTTTCTTTTCCTTCTTGATCTTTGTACAGTTTCTTGATTGCTGCATGTATTCTAGCAGTCTTTTGAGCTGCTTAAACGAGCTCTTTCTTACATCTGCTAGAAGTGTATTGTTTACAGTTCTTGTTTTTCTGGTTGATTATGGTCCAGATCCTCTGTTTTATTATTACTTTTTTGACCTTGCTTTGTCAATTCCAGGTGGAAGAGAACAAGGTAGAGAGTATCAAGAAGGATAAGGCGGCTACAGAGAAGTTGCTGCAAGAAACCGTAGAAAAGCACCAAGCAGAACTTTCAGCTCAGAAAGAATACTATGCAAATGCCTTGGCTGCAGCCAAGGAGGCTGAAGCATTAGCTGAGGCACGTGCTAACAGTGAAGCCCGAACTGAACTAGAAAGTCGCCTGAGAGAAGCCGAGGAACGTGAAGCTATGCTAGTTCAGGCACTTGAGGAATTAAGGCAAACTCTAAGTAGAAAGGAGCAGCTGGTACTTGCTTATTCATGTCCATTACTTGTTTGAGTCGGCTGACCTTCAATCACTATGATTTTCTTACTTAGGTTGATTTTTCATTTTGTAGGCAGTTTTTAGAGAAGATATGCTTCACCGGGACATTGAAGATCTTCAGAAACGGTATCAAGTATGTTACAGTCCTGGTGACTCTTCTACCATGAAATATCTGTTCTCCTTATTTTTCTTTGTAAAATAGTTTTCAAATATCTTGTTTCGTGTTACTTATATAGGCAAGTGAACGTCGATGTGAAGAATTGGTTACCCAGGTTCCAGAATCTACAAGGCCTCTCCTGCGGCAAATTGAAGCTATGCAGGTAAAGTCTTTATAGTTGGCTTATTTAAAATTGTTTTTAGGATTTATGCATTTTCTTATGGTCTTTCGATCTATTTTTTTTCCCTGGATTCATGGTTTTTCTGTCATTGCTGAACTGGCAATACAGGAAACAACAGCCAGAAGGGCAGAAGCTTGGGCAGCTGTAGAGAGATCTCTTAATACTCGACTTCAGGTATTAATAACATTTCTCTTTTTTATGATAAATATACTGAAAATTTTTATATAACTACCATTTTAGCATATTGTAATTGAATGCAGGAAGCTGAGGCCAAAGCTGCAGCTGCTGAAGAAAGAGAGCGATCTGTGAATGAACGTCTGTCTCAAACATTATCTAGGATTAATGTTCTTGAAGCTCAGGTATTTCTGCTATATTTATATTCTTCTCTCAGCAGCATAATCTGATTTATCATAATATTAGCTTACATCATACCTGTGCTTCAGATTTCTTGTCTTAGAGCAGAGCAGACACAGCTAAGTAGGTCCCTTGAGAAGGAGAGACAGAGAGCAGCTGAAAATAGGCAGGACTACCTGGCAGCAAAAGAGGAGGCCGATACTCAAGAAGGTCGTGTGAACCAACTTGAAGAGGAAATTAGAGAATTGTGGCGGAAACATAAGCAAGAGTTACAGGACGCACTAGTGCACCGGGAACTCCTTCAGCAGGTCATACACTCCTTTCCCATTTAACTTGAAGTAATACTTTCCTGTATGTTGCCTAAGTATCAAAGTTGTAAAGTCCTTTTTTCTTTTCCTTTCATTTTAGTCTCCTTTCTGTGCATTTCTGCTTCTAGCAAGTTTATCATAGCTAGCTATAATATTATTTGATAATTTCAGTTGCAGATCTGCCTAGGATTTTTTAAACAGAGGCTGTATATTTTTGTGGTTCACATAAACAACACTCCAAATACATTTTCCATAAAACAGTTCTCTTACACTGTTGTTTTGCTGCATCCTTGTCTTGTTGTACCTGCTTTGACACAGTTGCACAATATCAAACTTGAACCCCTTAATTTGAAATTACTTGATGCTTGTCAATTTAGTTAACTTGTAGATTCCTTCATGAACTAGGAGGAAAACTCATAGAGTAGCATATTACATCAATTTAGGATTAACAAACTTTCTATACCATTGGAACTTGTATGCGACGTTGTATTTGACTTCAGAATTAAGCTCATTATTTTGACAGGATTTAGAAAAGGAAAAGGCTGCTCGGATAGATCTGGAAAAGACAGCCCGTGCCCATTCTACTGCTATATCAGAAAGGACATCCATATCCAGGCAAAGTTCTGCTTTCGAGAATGGTCTGTTGCTTGATGATATTACTTCATGTCCATCAATTTTTTTTTTCCTTTTTCCAATTCTTATCCTTTAGAAAGTTTATAATTTCTTTCAGGAAACATGCACTTGCCCCGAAAAGTCTCTAGTGCAACCAGCATTGGCAGCATGGAGGAGAGCTATTTTCTTCAAGCATCTTTAGAGTCATCTGACGGTTTATCGGACAGGAGAGCCACTGGTGAGGCAACCATGAATCCGTACTACATGAAGAGTATGACACCTAGTGCCTTCGAAGCTGCACTTCGCCAGAAAGAGGGAGAACTAGCATCCTATATGTCTCGTTTGGTATAAGTTATATAATTTAATAGTTGCATATTCTATTTATTATGGGTATTCAATGCTTCTAGGATTTATGCAAAATTTCATGATTGCATGTCATCGGATGACTCTTGCTGTTTTCTGCTTTTGTCAGGCATCGATGGAATCAATCCGTGATTCTCTTGCTGAGGAGCTAGTCAAAATGACTGCACAGGTTTGGATATGTTTTAATTAGTCTGAATGCTCTAATGGTAATTTAGCAGAGTGGACTTAGTTTTAGGAAAGACAAAAGAAAAAAAAGAAAAAGAATCTACAATCATAAGAATTGGCAATTCATAATAAAAAAAATTCAAGAAGCACATCAACCCCAGATTAGAGAGTTGTCTCCCCAATCACAGGTCTGTATGAAAGTCAATGACAGGTATCTGTATGTTTCATTCAGTAAATAGTCTAAATCATAATAGTTAATCACTACATGGTTTTCTAAATATTATTTTGTCTAGGATACTAATTAGGGAAGTAACTGACGTAGTATTGGATAGCATCATGGCATAACACTTAACAATGTTGCAGTATAAGATCAATACAAAGGAAGAAACATTGTAATGTTCTTTGTTTGGTGGCCAGGAACAGCATAAGTAATTAGTCATATAACATATTTATTTATTTATTTTTTAAAATTAGACCACTTACAGACTGTGTAAGAGTCTGAGGGCAGCACCTTGTCCTGGTGCTTCTCTATGGTCTGGAGACATGTTCAGGTAATGGGAACTCAAGACTAAGTGGTTTGAGTATGAGACCTTGAGTGGCGTGAGTATGGTAGAAGGTTCCTGGGAAGGAAGTAATATCTCCACTTATGAAGGTAGTTTTATTATAATGCAAACTTCTTTGACCAAGGTAAAATACTTATGTCTAACCTACACATTCCATATGTAAAGGATACAGAACGAGGACTATATTCAATAAGCACGATTCTCATCCTCACTTCCGATTAATTACAAGCAATGTCATATAGTTTATTTAGATGCTTAACAACAGGAGACAACTTAAATTGGAACATTTCTAGTATTAAAAAATACTTATAGAATAATAATATTATTTAATTTATTTAGCTTATGTAGGTTGAGTTTAAGTATTTTTAGAAATTAAGAACTTTTGATTTCATTTTTATTACTGTAATATTTTTCGTAATGGTTGTAATTAGTGTCTATATAAAAGTCATTATCTATGAACAGTAGTAGAGAATAAAGAGCGATGAATTGAAAATTATTTAGTTAGGTTTTTATTCCTGGTTTATTTCTTTGTGGTTGTTTTGTTAGTTCTTATTTTGTCTAGCCTACCTGTTTTGTCCGCTTCTTTTTGTATTTCTTCACCTTGATCCCCAACTTTCTAAACATTTCTTCTTTTCTTTTGTTTTTTAACCTTTATTCCTCTGATGTTTAAATCATTCATGGACAAGTCAGTTCTAGACCCTACCTTTCCTATATTAATCGGTATTGAAGTCTATATTTTTTCTCCACATTTTTTGTTAACTTAAACTCATTATTAGGAAAAGAACCAAAGAAGAAGAAACCTTTTTTTTCCCAAAAAGGAAAACATATTCAGAAAAGAGATTTGCACAATCAAACAAGACCAATTTCTATTGTCAGTTGTTACCCTGGCCACCACCTCCAGATGGTTTGCGCCTTTAATGTAGTCAAATTTAAATATCTTTGACTGGGCTCCTTGCCAAGTTTCAGCCCAGATTCAGAAAATGCAACGTTGCTGAAAGCTATACCACACATCTCTTGGTAGATATTTGCCTTCCAGGTCACTGCAGAGAACACCAGTTGCCAATCTTGAACTGCCATCATTGCGAGAATGTTCCACCAGAAGCCCGACCTTCACTGATTACCAGCAAATACAGCATGGACCTGATGCACACCTGATGTACGAGTGAAACTGTTCTCTTACCAGTCCACTCAGATTTGGGCATATCGATTATTCTAGACCAGTTTAGGCCCTTCCTGACCAGTTTTCACTGGTTCAAGTTCCTTGTTCTTGTGATTTTCTTTAGGTTAGTTTGGTCATATCTGTGTTCTATTCTCCCTTTTAGAGAAAATAAGATATGGAAGGTAATATCTTTGAGATGGACTCCATATTCTTTTTGATAGAAAAAATATTATTAGATGGAGAAAGAAGAATCCAACAATTGGAGGATAAGATATCCTAACAAAAGAAAAAATTGACAAAGAGAAGTCTTTAAAATGCCTATGTGCCTTGGGCAAAGAGATACCTGATGGTTCTTCTTATTCTCTCAAGCCAATTCACCCACACCCTAGCAAATAAATCTCCACCCTAGAGAGCCTTTATCTCTTTCTTCCTACAAGAAGGAAAAAATACCCTCAAGTAGAGCAAGTGAACCCCAAGAGACACTGAAAATATAAACAATTGGCACCAAAATGATGTAGGATAAGTTAGGGTTTGTTGCCTACTTAGGGACTTAGGAAGAAAAGCCTAGACATCATGGTTAGGGTTTTTTAAACTATAGCATCCTACTTATCACAGTTACTATATCTTCCAATCGATCCCTAGAAGACCATAGATCATGCACCATAAGCTATAAGTTGTAGGACACCATAATAAGAGGTGGTTACATACTCAAATAGTTAGATTAATGTGAGTTTTTTCGTGGTTGAAGTATTGTTGTGTTAAGAATAGAATATTGTCATGAACAAACTGTCCTAACAGTTTTTATTCTCTCTTGTGATCATGATATATAGTAAGTGGATATAAATAAGAAAAAGAAAGGAAAGGACAACAAAAAAGAAGAATTGGGGGAAGTTGGTGGAGGAGGAGGGTAAAGAGAGTTGAGAGGAAAAAGACACGAAATGAGAGATGGAAAATTTTATTTTTTAACAAATAGTCTTTTTAGATTTAGATTACTTACTAGAAAAGTGGAAGAGGGTAGGTGTCCAAGTGAAGAATAAGATTCCGTCAAACAACATTTTCTTGATAGTTAAATTTATTGATTATCCTGTTCCAAAAAATGTCGATTATCGTTCTTTAAAGACTTAAAATACATTGAGTTATTTAGGAATCTTTACCTGACTAATCGAATCCTAA